ACATTTATCTTATTTAATTACTGCAAATTTAGATAAACAAAATAGTTGATGATTTATTGATTTTCCAAATATATCTAGTTTTGTGAATAGGACAAAGGAAATGTTTTAAATTGGTACGCAAAGATCAATCTAAATGCCGAACTGCCGATCGATTTTTTTTGTTATAGTCGAATCTTAAATAAAGTCATGTATCATAAGTGAAATATGAGCACATAATACAAAGATCAGTATTAAATTAGTTTCTATATCAAAGACCAAAGTTACAAAAAGTTTCATATTTAATTTAAAAAATCTTTGTCAAATGTAATATATTTTATATTTTTAGGAATTAAAAAAATTAACCCGCCAAAAAATCATCATTTTGTAGATCATTTCTAAAAACAGATGATCAATTAAATCGAAAAATTTTCCAAATGGGGGATTTGAATATGTAAATTTAATAGAGTTTATTATAAAAAGCTATTTAAAACATATTGAAAGGAGCTGAGATAAGAGGACGCAAAGTGATATAAATTAAAGAATTGAATTATCATGGATACTAGGTTGATTTGATTTGATCATCAAATTATGTCATTTTTAATATTGTCATAGCATCACTGATTGCGAAGATAAGGTTCCAGATTGTTTAATTGTTTTCGTTTGATCATATACATCATCTAGATTGGGCTCTCTTAATGCTTTTATTTTGTGATATGGTATAACGCACGAATTTTATTAATTTATTTTTTCGTTAAGACTATTCACAAACTGACAGATAGGAGGTAAATATATCGTATATATCGTATTTTATCAGCATAAATAAATGAATTAATGAATTATTATTTATCTAAAGGATAATAAATAATGAAAGTTTTTTTTTTTTTTCTTACGATAAAATAAATATTATATGAGAGCGTTGCGAGTAAAATCAAGTCGAGATATAGTAAAAATATGATCCATAACGTGATATTACTGGCAACGTTTCCATATTAATGATAAAAAATTTTCAGGATTTTGTTTCAGGATTTTGTATAGTAATAAGAAGATATTCCTTATCTTTAAAGTAAAATTTTAAAAATGAAAAATATTTTAACAATTATAATATGTTATTTGTCAGAATAATTTAATTTTGAATATAAATTTCTTTACCTGGTGCAATTAAAATTTCGTGTTTCTTAGTTCTAACCCGCAAGAAAGTTAAGTCGTTCTAAATTAAGCAAATTTAATTATATATATATATATAATTATAATCTGAAATACAAAAATGACCATTTTTAAAAAACTCACGGTATCATCCATTTCTTTAATACAAAAGATTGTTTGTTCTACTAATTTGGTGATTAAATCCGAATATTTTTTATTCAACGTAGGTTCTAAAGTTGATTTAATAATTTGTCCATCTTCATTAACGATCAATACACCTTGTACGTGTTTGTTTGCTGTAAGACGTTTAATGTTTTCTTCAACTTCAGACTACAAATCAAAGCAAGTCAATATGAAATTATTACGGATCAAAAACTTCAGGAGAAAGAAAAAAAAAAAAAATACCATAACATTCATTTTCTTTTAAAAAAAAATTGTAAAAAAAAAAGTGTGTGGGGGTTTATTTATAACGTTTATCGTTTATATACATGTCACATTTTTTCATGTGAATAATTTGGGTATAGCAAACTAATCAGGTGATGATTATCATAAACTGATGAAAAAGTTCATTCAATTATTTTTTTAAAATGGAAAAGTCTACTTCATTAAATGGTAATAATGAGAAAAGTAAGGACGAGATATTAGCAGCTTTGAAAACTGCTACAACTTCAGTATTTCTTCGCTCAACTCCAATGCCAGAAAATGCTATGACAGTAAAAGGACCTGATTTTAATCATCAACTATCTTTACATGAATTACTTGATGGTTATTCTCGAATAGGGTTTCAAGCAACTAGTGTCGGAAAAGCTATTGAACTTATAAACAAAATGGTAAATATATATAAATACATATATTAATAACGAATTTTCGATTACTTAATAAAAAAAATCTCGTTTTAAATATTAACTGCCGTATTATTGTAGCGTAAATGGAGATTATCACATGAACCAATATTGCCAGATGAAATAGAAGAATACAAAGAACCATTAAAAAGATGTACAACGAAATGTAAAATATTTTTAGGATATACATCAAATCTTGTATCATCAGGATTACGAGAAATAATTAGATATTTAGTACAACATTCATTGGTTGATGTTATAGTAACAACAGCCGGTGGCGTAGAAGAAGATTTTATTAAATGTTTAGGACAAACTTATTTAGCAGATTTCCAATTAAATGGTTCGGAATTAAGAAAAAATGGTATGAATAGGATTGGTAATTTAGTTGTGCCTAATGATAACTATTGTAAATTCGAAGACTGGGTTTTACCTATATTAGATAAGTTATTAGAAGAACAAAGAAGCGAGGTTAGTCGTAATTTTTTTATCATGTGCGTAATTAATTTATTTATTTATTTATTTTTTATTAAGGGAATTATATGGTCTCCATCAAAAGTTATTAATAGATTAGGTAAAGAAATAAATAATCCTGATTCAATATATTATTGGGCATATAAGGTGATTATAATATTTAGAGACATCCATCTTTATTTCAATGAAATTAATTAATATTCTTTCTTTTTTTTTAAAAAAAAAAAAAAAAAGAATAATATTCCAGTATATTGTCCTGCTCTCACTGATGGTTCATTGGGTGATTTGATTTATTTTCATACTTTTAAAAATCCCGGGTTGGTTATTGATATAGTATCTGATATAAGATCAATAAATCAACAAGCTGTATTTGCAAAAAAAACTGGTGTCATAATTTTAGGTGGAGGATTAGTTAAACATCATATATGTAATGCCAACCTCATGGTGATTATTTGTTTAATTCTTTAGAATTGAATTTGATGTTAACATGTTTTTAACGTGTTTTTTGTTTTTTATTTTTTATTTTTTTTTCCTGCAGAGGAACGGAGCTGATTATGCAGTTTATATAAATACAGGACAAGAATTTGATGGAAGTGATTCAGGTGCTAGACCTGACGAAGCTGTTAGTTGGGGAAAAATCAGAACTGACGCCGAACATGTTAAAGTTTATGCAGATGCCACAATTGTTTTTCCACTTATTGTCTCCGAAACTTTCGTCAAGGAAGTTCTGGATCAATGTAAAAATTAGAGAATAAGATTAATAGTTAACGTGATTTCAAATAAATTTAAAAATCACTAGTCACGTGATAGTTCCAGAATAATTCTTACGATAAGTGAGATCGTGTGAAATGAGTAACTTCCAACACTCACGTGAACATAGATGATTTACTATTGTCTCGGCAGAGACCTGGAATTATTCCGATATCAAATCACAAATTTTTATCACGATAACGGGAAAAATTCCGATTTTATTCCGATAAAAATTACCAATTATAGTAAGAAACATTTGATAATTCTAGCCGGCTCACATTTGGCCAAAAATGATCAAAATGATTGACATTTACCGGTTACTATGGAATTTTTACAAATTCCAAATCACGATAAAAGTCAATAATACTGCAATAACGATTGGTTAGTTGTCACGTGTCGGAATAAAATTATTAAAAATTCATAAAAATTCCATTAAACGGCAAAAATTCCATTTTATTCATTAATTATAAAAATGGAATAATTCCGGGTCTCTGTGTCTCGGGCAAAAAATCACGTGGGTGGTTGTTAGTTCGTGACTGCGGATTGATAGTGATAATTATTGATTTTTTTTTTTTTTTGTGAAATTTACCTAACTTTCTATAATGTCGTTAGATACGCGATTGGAAGCTGCAACTTCTGAATATCAAAGGCTTCAAAAAGGTGAGTAAACATTATTATTTATTTTATTTATTTTTTGTAATTTAACCCAACTAATATTAATTTATCAAATATAAAAGAACTTTCAGACGCTATTGAAGCTAGACAACGTCTGGATTCTCAATTACAAGAAAATGAAGTTGTTCAAAAGGTAATTTAGACACCAAATCAATTCTTTTAGTCATTTTATTACCTATTCAATTAATTTAATTAAAATTAGGAATTTAAATTGCTAAAAGATGATGCGAATATTTTTAAGTTAATTGGACCTGTATTAGTAAAACAGGATAAAAGTGAAGCTACAACAAATGTAAATAAACGATTAGATTACATTAGATCAGAAATGTGAGTAATAACAATATTTTGTTGCCTTTTTTAAGCTTTGTAATTTTTATAAACTAATTATTTTATAAGCAAACGTGTCGAAACACAACTTGCGGATTTGAGCGAAAAATCAGAGAAAAAGAAATTTGAAGTATGTAAAATAAAGTTTATTTTTTTTTTAAAAAATAATAAATTATTTAATATTCTATATAATTTATATATTATAATAGGTCGTTAACCTTCAAAGAACTTATCAAGCACAAGTTCAACAAGTTTCAGCAAAAAGATAATTATTAAGTTATGACATTTCTAATTTATTAAGACAATCAAATAAATCTTTTCCTTCTTGCACATTAATGATTTCATTGACCAAATATTTAATGATTACATCGGTTCTATAATCCATCTTTATCCGTTCACTTTTCGATATATTTTGTATGGTATTTCTTATTACATCCTCCCATAAATCTTTACTAATAATGATTCCTTGGTTAATAATAAGTTGAAATAACGCTGATCCAAATAATTTAAAGTCATATTTAGATTGTATAGAAGCAAATAAGTACTTTACACTAATATGATTTGGTCGAAGTCCAATCGAAGTATGTTGAATAAATTCCGCACAACTTAGCGGACCATATTTACAATCTGATATCGCTCTCATAAAAATATTAAATAATTTTACATCCATGGGGACATGTTTCGTCCTAAACATAAATATCTTTCCCAAAGGATTATGATTCTTGTCTAACAACAATCTATTGTAATTTTTGTCAAAGAAATCAATCTTTTCCTGATAGAATTCCATAATACCTCGAATATCACGTAATCTTCCTAAAGTCAAAATCATCGAATTTAATAATGATTTTGGTAATATTATTGTTTTTGGTTTAGAAAATATCCCTTCAATTAATCTCCAAGTATATGATCGATCTATCGTGTTTGTATGATTTTGAATCGAATCAAATAAATTTTTATACAACAATTTTTTTGGTTCCAAGTTTTTCTCCCACATCATTTCTAATATTCTCATTGATCTTGAATTATCTCCATTCATTATGCAATATTTCAATAAATTATTATAAATTCCTAATGAAATTTCTCCCTTTGAAATCCGATGAAATCTTAAAAAGTAATCAAAACATTTTGACATTCTTATAGTTGAATCATTATTCTCATCGAAAGAAAGTTGTGTACAACAAATCTTTATAATCCTCTCTTGTAATTGCCTGTTGTCGCATAAACCATATTTTAATATCTTGGTCCAAATAACTTCCAATTCTTCATAACTTTTACAATGTTGTAATAAAATTAGAAATGTTTTACCGTTTGGTCCAACTTTCCAATATGACATTAAATCAAGAATCATCTTTACATTTGCTTTTATACTTGGATCCTCCGAAGAAATGCATGCTTGTAAAAGAGAATTTAAAGTTTCCGAATTGGTTTTTTCACCTTTTGATATAATTTTCTCTAAAAATTCAAAACATTCATATGGAACATTTGCTTTTGCTGCGGATTTTATTAGTGTTGAATATGTTTTAACATTAGGCAAGGTGCCATATTGGCACATCGTCCTATACACTTAATTAAAAATTAAACAATTAATCTATGAAAATAGTTAAGGAACGAAAGTAAGCACCCAATTTCCCTTTATACTTACTACCAATAACTTCCTCAGGTCGTCCCTTATCAGCGTATATTTTAAACATAACATTCCAAACTTTAATAACAAGAGCGCCAAGTAAATACTTTCTTGTGCTCATATCAACATCATAAATAAATCTGGCAAAGATAATGTTAACTAAATCTAATCGATCATATTTAGCACATTGACGTAATAAATAAGAAATTAAATTCAAATAAAATGGTTTAGTAGAATACAATGAATTAAAATTTATATAAAATGATAAAATTTGTGATGACGTTAAATAAGTCAATGCGTTTCTTGTTATCATTTCATTAATTAATCCAATTGCCTACAGGAAAATAAAATATTATTATTAACAAATTTAACAGATTTGGAAGGAAAAAAAAAAAAAAATTTGACAAACCTTACTTTCACTACTTCTTTTTGCGATTTTAATTTAATTTTTTCTTTATCAATTCTCTGATTTATTTTAACATCATCAAATTGTTTGCGTAATGCTTGAATAAATGCATTTTTATTTGGTAATGAATTAGAAGAACTATGTTTAGTTTGATATTGTTTATAATATAATTGACCAGTATTGCTAGTTTGTTCCACGATATTTGGATAACAACGACAACTTGCCGCGTTAAAATGACGAGTATATAAAAGTTGCGAAGGTTGAAATTGAATATATTGTCGTGTTGGTTGAAATATTTTGACTTCGAACAACAAGGTGCGTATGTTAAGACTATTCATTTCGTTAAAAACAAAAAAAGGTTGAAAAGCATAAAAGATTATCGAAAATTTTTTTTGATAAATCAATATCGATCACATGACATCATTAGTTGTACCAAATTTTATTGAATAAAAAAAAACCAAAAAAACTTGCAAAAATCGATATTTTTTTTTACTTTTTTTTTTTTTGAGCGTAATTGTTCTCTTGTGAGTTAAAGAGCCTATCGACTTTTGCGACAAAAAGAAAAAATTCGAAAATAAATTAGGTAAATATTTAAACTCTAAATGAGAAGGGATGGTTGGTGAAGTTGATATTTTGATATTGGATACAAAGTTTCATATATTAAGAAAATTAAATGACAAAACACTTAAAAATATTTTTGAAATTATAAACAACTTTAGTTTTGATCTCATTTCATCAGGAATTATGAAGCACCTAGCCGCTTATTTGTTATTAGAACTCGCTGGTAAAACACCCAACGATAAAAGTATCAAATCTCTTCTTGAATCTGTCGGTATCGAAGCTGATGATAATAAAATTAAAAAATTGCTCAATGAATTAAATAACAAAAATTCCGAAGAGGTATGCTATTTATTATAATTGTAACTCTTTTTAAAATGATTTCTTCATATAAATGCTAACCTATTTAATTAATCTATTATTTGAATTCATGAAAAAAAAATGATAGTTGATCGCCTCAGGATTATCGAAATTAGCATCTGTACCTACAGGTGGTGGTGCTGTTGGTAGTGGTGCTGCAACTGGTGGTGCCGCTGCCGCTGAAGCTCCTCCCGCCGAAGAAGCCAAAGAAGAAGAAAAGGAAGAATCTGATGATGTACTGTATATCTCTTTTAAGCCATTTTTTTTTTTTTTTTGGTTAAATCTTTGAATATCTAATCTTAATGTTTTTTTTTTCCTAAAACTAAAAAGGATATGGGATTCGGTCTTTTTGATTAAGAAAATGATCTGGCTATTAACTTTCTGGTTTTGACGTTAAAATTGTATTTTCAAATGGTTTATTTAAGAAATAAAATGAAATGAAATTTTCATGATACCATAACATTCTTTTGAAGTAGTCCTGGATTAAAAATAATATGTTTTGTTGTATTGCTAGTCAAAATGCAATCAGACTCTGTAATGTTGAACCTTGTCCGAAATGACATAATCCAAAGTAATCATTAATTGATTCTGGACTTGGTGGATTTTAAAATGGCTCATAATCCAGTGATGCATAGTCTCAAATGTTTCAAAATCATCGATTCATTCTTGAACCAGTTACGTTTTAATTAGGAATAGTCGAAATTTTTTGAATGATGGCAATTATTTTAAACATAGTTTTTTATATAACAATCGTTCCAGCTATAATATTAACTACATATTAATATAAATATTAAATTGAATTTTCTTACAGTTGTAATTATTCATATACGGATATTTCAAAATTCGGATAAATTCCTATAAGATATAGATGATACCAATGTATTGCTCTGGATTAATCACTGAAAAAATGGTATTTTTGACTCTTCTGTTCCATCTATATATATGGAAGAAAATCCGTATAATTTTTATGCTTCTTTCAAACTTAAATCTTCTTAGTCAAATATAATATTTTTAAAATTGATATTTTTTTTTATAGGTTTAACAATTTTTTAATTTTAAATTAAAATGTTATTATATATTATCTAAAGGAAAAAAAACATTTGAAAGTAGTTGTCCGGAAATATGTTTCGATAATATGATCACGTGACGTATATGTTCCGATCAACTTCCCACCAAAAATCACTGGCATGTGACCAATTTTACCGGTCTTTATCTAAAAATATTTTTCACGAAAATTTTGTTTTTTGAAATAAAACTAATAAAACTTAACTTAAACTTCCTTCAACTTTTAAAATCATCCCTTCCATAGGAATGCTCATCTGCTTTACAAGTTTGCTTAGAGTCAAAACAGAGGTTGTACATTCCATTTTTAGACTTTTATATTGTATTTTATAAAAGTTGACCATACCAAAGAAACAGCATTTGAAATCTCTATTTTCTCTCTAAGTAAACTTGTAAAATAAGTAAAAATGCATATATGATTTGATTTTTGAATCTGTATAATGTTTTATTAAGTCTTATTTAAAAAATTAAAATAAGAATTTTTTTCGTTAAAATTTATTGTCTATTTTTGGAAATGATCGGCATAAATTGATCACATGCCGATGATTTTTTGGTGGTTACCTTGGGAAATCGTGACTTAGAATTTTTTCTCGCCCCTTTATGTCAATGGTCACGTGAAGGAAAATTTTTTACTTATAAATATCTTATATATAATTTATTTATGATTATAAAAATGTTTGATTCACATTAGAATAACACTCTTGAACTTTTCAAAAAAATGTTCATTTAGAATAATTTTAGACCTCATTTTTTTATTTTATATAATTTTCAAATTTTAAATTAATTTTTTTTTAATTAAATATTATTTTTTAGATTGTAAAATTTTATAATGAAATTTTTTATTAAGAAATTATTCCTTAAATTGTAGAGCAGGCAAATTGCCTTCAAAACATAAAAAAAATGTATTAATTTTTAAATAAAAATAAAATATTAATGTTAATAATATAATTATTATATAAAAAATATAGTTTAATATATATTTTATCAATTTTATT